TTACTACCCTTTTTAAGATTAGTTACTACCCAATTCTCCCTTGAGCAATGCCAATTACTTTCTGGCTAAAGGAAAACTTTTAATATGGTGTGTTAAAGCCCTTCATTGTTACTTGTGTGCAACAAATGAAGATCTTCTCTGTACTTGCTGATGTACTACCTGGCCCTCAAATGGCATCTGGTAAGTTTTATCACAATTATGCAAACAGATTTTTTCCTTTGCCTTTAGAAAAAGCCACATATACATCATACCTAAAGGAGTTAGGCACCTCTATTTTTACCACAATGGCAGAGAACAATATGGACAGTACAGGGGTAATACAAACAGCAGAAAAATTACAGGAAAGAGTTATTGTAGCGTCTAAATTACAACTTAGAAGCTGTTCAAGCGTCACAGAACTGATCATTTATTTCAGTTCCTCTGTTAGTTTGCTTTGTGGTTTAAAATACAGTTGTGCTATAGGCTGTGCTACGTGTTAGACTTGTGACTTTAGTGTCCTTCTGGAAAATAGCACTGAAAAACAACTTTTGCCCTTGCTTAATCTCTTAATCTTTCCCTTTCTTTCCTTCTGTTTTTTAATTTATACTGAACACCTTCAGTATTAACCAGTGCAATTTGTATTGAACAAGAAACATGAAACCTTATCTGCTTTGTATTTCACTAGTTATGTGATCCAGAACTAAACCTCCTCAACATTTTAAAATTCTACATTCAGTGTTTGTCACAATAAATACTCAAGTCTAAAGGTCTAAGAAGAAGAGTGCTTGCATTAACCTAAGATCGTTTTGGGTGTCGAAGTGTACACAGTTTGTTCCTCTACACTTTTTCTACAACAATCTCTTTGTGAAAACGCTTTTTCATTCCCCACACATTTAAATTCTGATTTCAGCATTATAAAAATATAGTTAACGTTCTCCTTGTCTTGCACATAAGCCTATGTGAGGTGGATATACTGCAGAAAAGAGACATGCTTTTAAACCCAGCTCAAGGATTACAGGTGACTAACTATAAACAAAACAAAATAAAGACCACTTACCTAAGCAGCCAAAACACATTGTTAAAAGGAGTTTCAGTGAAATTATGATCATCACACAGGATTATTAGCACTTGCATCAGGGTGTCTTTGTTGAAGATCAGCAAAACAACAAATGGAAACCTGTCAGATATGTAGCTTAACTTCCTCTTCCCTCATATGGTCAGGACAATAGAAACC